ATATTTAAAAAAATAAACAATTAAGGTGACAAATTAAAGAAAAAACTTTTACAATATTAATATATGGGTGCACGTATAAACACTTTTACTACTTTTGATTTAACTTATTTCAGGTAAAATAAGTTGTTTTGAAAAAATAAAACCAAAAATGCCATTCTAGTACCTAGTAGCAGATCCATCACGTATTTTAATATTTCGGTAAACTAAATAAGCCACGAGAGCACAATCCACATCATTTATTCACCTGTGATCGCGCAGCACCGCCGTTTTCGGTACGTTGTCATGCAGTGCAAATGCAAGTCAGTGTTTTTCTCTTACAGCATCATAAAAAGTGAAAGCACGTGAAGCAGAAAACTCGACTTCTGACAGCTAGATTCAACTCCAGCTATCGATACGTACAGCATAGTTTGGCACAGCATTACAATATGGAATGGCATGTGATCTTTTTCCGACATTTTTGCAGTACAGATCATGTTTAAATCCAAATTATAGCAGCACATAGAAATAATCGGCATTTAATAAACTTGTAATTGACCCGTCGCAAAGACTCGCCCCCAAGTTCTCACGATGTGAAAAATGCATCGCGGAGCTAAGAGGAAACTAACAACGTGCCGACAGACAAGACAGAGCAGGTTACTTTTGGTAAGAAACAGTCTCAGCTTTCAAATTTTGTAATTTAAGAAATTCAAACCATAAATACCGTTTTGTGGCTCTTTAATTTGTCGTGAGAGATCGCTGTAGCGCCTCAGATCAAGCGGCATGAACTGATCGTCTTTTCATATTTACTAGTTATAGCACAAAATAAACACGAATGAACATCAGAAGGTATCTAGTTTCAACCGCAGAAAGACATCAATACAAATTTTTCAAGTTCAAGTCTACCGACGTTAATCTACTCTGTCTAATTTGTTTGTTTGACAGACAAAATGGCAGATTTGGCATTATGATTGGTCAGATGCCTGTCAATCAAACTCCCAGAGAAGGGTCAATTGAATAAAGGCC